GTTTAAGTTTAGGCACAAAAACCATTTGGTTTAGGTTAGGAAAAGATCATGTTTCAGGTTCAAATATCCAGTTTGGGAGGCCCAATCCTGTCAAGAAAAGCAGCGGTTTCAGGAAAAATCAACCAGTTTTTCTGCCATTATCCCACCAAGGAAAAGCAGCAATGTTTCCGTAAAAAACAACCACTTTTCGTGGCACTACCTGAGTAGGAAAAGCAGAATGTCTTGGTAAAAAACAGCCACTTTTAATTCTATACTGACAAGAAAATAACGGTGTCTCTGAAAAACAGGCTGGTCACATGGCGCCATCCTGCCAGTAAAAGCAGTGATATGTCAGTTAAAAAAAAAAAAAAAGAAACAACACTTTTTGAGCTACTTCTCAGGTAGGAAAAGCACAATGTCTCAGTAAAAAAAAAAAATAAAAAAAAATAAAAAAAAATTGTGGTACTATCCCACTAGGAAAAGCACTGTATCTGGGTAAAACATAATGCTTTTCGTGCCACTATACCAGCATGAAAAGCAGCAATGTCTCAGTAAAAGCAGCTGCTTTTTGTGGCACTATCCTGGCAGGAAAAACATTGATGCTACAGTGAATAATTTCCACTTTTTGTGCCACTACCCGAGTAGCTAGGCAAAGCAAAAACAACCACTTTTCATGGCCCCATCCTGGCAGAAAAAGCAATGATGTCTCTCTAAAAAAAAGGCCGGTTTACATGTCACTGTCCTGGCAATAAAAGCAGCGATATGTCAGTAAAAAACAACTACTTTTTGTGCCACTAGTCAGGGAGGAAAAGCACGATGTCTCCATAAAAAGCAAGCACTTTATGTGGCACTATCCTGGCAGGAAAGCAGCAGTTTTGGGAAAAATCAACCACTTTTTGTGCCATTACTCAAGTAGTAAAAGCAGCAATGTCTTGGTAAAAAACATGGCACTATCCTGGCAGGAAAAACATTGATGTTACGGTGGAAAAATAACCACTTTTTGTGCTACTACCCAAGTAGAAAACACACAATGTCTGTGAAAAACAACCACTTTTCAAGGCTCTACCATGCCAGGAAAAGTAATAATGTCTCTGTAAAAAACAACCACTTTTCGTGGCATTCTCCTGGCAGCAAATGCAGCAATATGTATGCCACTGTCCCGGTGGGAAAAGCAGGATGCTCAGTAAAAAGCAATCACTTTTCATGGCACTATACTAGAAGGAAAAGTAATGATGTCTCCTCACAAAAAAAGGCCAGTTTATGTGGCACTATCCTGGCAGTAAAAGCAGTGATATGTCAATATAAAACAATCATTTTTTGTGGCACTACTTTGGTAGGAAAAGCATGATGTCGCTGTAAAAAATAGCCACTTTTTGTGGCACTATCCCAGTAGAAAAAGCAACAATGTCTTGGTAAAAAAAAAAAACAAAAAAAAACTTCTTTTTGTACCTACAATGTCCCTGGAAACACAGTGATGGGCTGCTATAATAACATTTGGTGCCTAAAAAGCCGCTGTAAAAACAGCAATGACTCGCTAGATCACAACTGGTTTTGCTGTTTGTTAGCCTTGAACAGTGGTCTGCATTGGTCTGCAGCTTGGCCACTGCACGCCATCCACCGTCTGCTCCACCCCCCGATGACAAAGTCAGCTCATATACGTCACTTTAGAAACATTGATGGGATATGTATAAAACACACAAATGTAATGTATTTGTGGTTTGCAGAAACAAACAACGCTAACTTTTTCTCTTGGCGACCGGGCTGGCACTGCACCCACTCATCAATTGGTGGTTACTGAGAGCTGTATATTTGCAGGAAACAATATGCTCAAGCACTTTGCTGTGTCATTATTCAAAGGGAACAGCACATATCTTGGTTAAGCACTTCAAAATTGTTCTCCAGTGATGTTTTGATAAATCACAGATATCAGGGTGCGATAATGGAGACAGCAGCGTATGGTCGGCTCAGAGTGGTCATCTCCTTTTTGTAGGCTCCAGCACTTTCTTAGCTCTAACACAATAAACATTGATTTTACATCCCTTTGATTCCTATGAAGAAAGCGTTTCACTGACAGACTCACAGCACTCATCTCAGTCTGTTTGTGGGGCAGCGCTAACAGTTCTCATGAATCCCCACCGCAGAGCATCAACCAGCACAAACTGCTAATAGTTTCATTTCCTATACATTTTCCCAACAAGGCACTCTGCTCCATTTAAAAACAGTGTGAGAGAGAGACAGCATCCTCTTTGATCCTGCTGATCCAACCTAGAGGAGTGTGATCAAAGGCTGCTCATGTTTAACACTGCTGTGGTCTCCCAGGTTGCGGTTGCAGGTGTGGCTGTCTGAGAGGCCTGCTGAGGGCCAACTCTGTCTTTTTGCATTGATTTAAGGTGAACACACCTGATAGAAGTCAGCACCATCAGGCATGGCTTTCAGATAAGGAAATACTGCGCAGTAGGGTGAGAACTTCAACATCTAATTATGACAAGGGGCTTTCAGCACAAGGATTTTCACACAAAATGCAGGGTTATATGCTCATTCAGCCAAATATTAACACACAATCACTTGGGATTTAATTTTTTGGCTGTTATGTAATAGTCTGACTGCTTTTTTAAGTGCTTTTTTAAACACTGCATTTACATCTAACCTTTTGTGGGTTTCTAACATTTATATCTTGCTGTGGTTGTTTATTGAAATGTGCTTGATAATGAGATCCTGTATTGATCAATAAAATGCACCTCCCAAAGCATTGATAAATCTGAATGATTCAGACAATCCTAAATCATTTCTGACTCCTTGTTTATGCGCACAAAGATATAATTCAATATCGGCCTTCTGCAGAATATCTCAAATTCAATTGGCTCAGGATGATACAGGGTGGGGTTGTTACAAATATACAGAATACAGGGGACAGTCAAAAGAAACAACTTCTATGTATTTTTGTTGTAAGGGAGGGCAGCTTGGTGATATCTAAATGATTTATCGGTGTATGGCCGGTGCACAAGGTCACAGAAAGTGTAAGCATGCATGTGTGAAAGTCTGGATGCTTGTGCATTTGTACATCTGTGTGTCTGAAGATGTTTTTTGTGAGCGTGCATATGATGGCTCTGCAGTGACAAACAGATAGACACAACCCACAATTTTTCAAAAGCGAGTTAATGATGTCACAGCCAACTTTTGTCACAAGTTTGGTAATAAGAGCATTACAGGAGATGAAGATAATGAGCCTTGTGTCATGCTTTAAAGATGATTAATAGCGATGCAACCAGAGAGTTGCTTTTACTGCGAGACTAAGACATGTTTTTCTAGTTCTTGAACGATAATGGCAGATAATAGAGCACACATCCCACACTGATAAATCACATCCGCCAGCTTTTTTCTTCTTCTGTAATTTCCACTTTTTACTTTGTGCTCCAACCTTGCAACAATCAAAACATGAGTAAACACCAAAGTACAACACATGAAGGTGTCCTAATTGACTCATTTTTGTGCAACTGTAAATGTTCTTTAAAATGCGTTCATATAACAGGGTTGAAAACACAGGATTGCAAAACCTCTGTTTTCTTATTTTGTGTTCGTCAGGAAGTAACAGGAAGTATCTATGTCCAGCTGCTTATGTTACTCACACTAAAAACTCAGCAGTGGGCAGTTTCATGGGGGTTGTGCTCTTGTGCAATAAAGATCCAGTGTTCAAAAAACTAAAAACACCCCATGTTACTGCATTTCAAAATGCCACAAACGTCCAAAGGCAGTTCAATATGTTAAACTGTGACGCGCTATACAACAACATTTAGAGTGGAGCTGCGCAATATTGATAATATACCAATATTGTGATATGAGACTAGATATTGTCTTAGATTTTGGATATCATAATATCATCAGTGTTGTCTTTTCTTGGTTTGAAAGGCTGCATTACAGCAAAGTGATGTAATTTTCTGAACTAAACGGACTGTTGTAACTGTTCTGTTAATTGTCTTTACCCATTTTGTCATGATATCCACATTACTGATGATTAATCATCAAAAATATCATTGTGTAGTCAACACTACAATATCGATACTGTGGTATTTGGTCAAATATATTATGAGAAAAACTGCATTCAGCCAGGCCGTTTTTTCCTTCAGGCCATGGCATTAGTGGAATTCAGCACCACAAACAATTAGAGGGTCTCCATCATATCACTCATTTAAGTTTAATGCCAAGAAATGGCTTGTTGACACTCAAAGATATGTTCGATGAAAACTAGCCTTTCAGCTAATTCGGGTGCTTTTACATTTGTTAAAATGTTGATTAATGCACACTGTTCCTTTTTTTAAATAAATGAATAAATAAAGTGTTTGATTTTCTCCATATCACCCAGCCCTAATTTACAGTCTGCATGTATGCTAGCATGTCTGTGAGGCTGTGTTTAGCACGGATGTATAAAGAGAACCAGATAGAACATCGGGGGCGGGGCCCCGTTCATTCGTATAGAAGTTGCTCAGTGGTGCACAAAGCCAAAAAAATTAAATTATCACATTAAAAAAATACCCTGATAATCAGCACTACCTCCACCTGTCTGTGTGGCCTATAGAGCAGGGGCACTAGAGACCTCCAACGTCCATGTGCCCTCAAGTCCTCTAGACTACCGAAATATTATCAGGCTGAACAGATCAAATTCTGATCATGAAACGAGCCATTTTGCAAGGGTTGTGACATTCAAAAAACACTGTTTGACCACTGCAAAAATTGGCTTCAAAACCACGTACACTATATGCATTAAGGCACAGTGGTGCTTTGAGCTAAATGCTAATGTCAGAATGCTAACATGCCCACAATGACAGGGCTAATATGCTAATGCATGCAGATATAATGTTCATCATTAGCATGTTAGCATGCTAACATTTGCTAATTTGCACTAAGCACAAAGGATGATGTCACTGTGTATGTGTAGGCCTGTACAGATCATCAGAATGCTTTTGGACGATCGCTCTAACCAATCACCCCCAGATCTATCACACCCAACATTCAATGGTAGTTACCTTTGCTGCAACAGATGAGCTGGGCTTTTCCAGGAGGTCCCAAAGTTTCTTTCGTTTTTCAGCACAGCAAGTGTTGTCGAATTCTTCTCCTTCTCTGTCCTTCATATTGTCGGCCTCTCGTTTGAGCTCCTCATTCATTTGCTCCTTTTTCTGGTGGTACCTCGCCTGGCAACAGGACTCCAGGTAGATCTCGTCGATGCCCCAGTAGTCGAGTTCTTGACTGAACGACAGGGCGCACATTTCTTCCATCATGTGCAGCTTACCCGTGCGGTAGAAGTTCAGAATTGATGTGAACGCCCCCGGATGTCGGTCAAAAAAGTACTCATTCTCCTCCAGGTTGTAGTCGTCACACACTTCCATCAGAGATTCGTGGGTGTTGCAGTCTCGTAACTTTCCCAAACGTGTTCGTGGTAACCTGTCTAACGTTCGCCACAAGACCTCATGTGGGAGACCCCCAACATTCAGCCTGACTCTGCGGAAACATGACTTGCTGCGAATGATGTCCACCGGTTCGGGTGGCAGCGATGATGTGGAGTGGGAGCCAGCTTTATTTAACTCTGCCAAGGATTTCTCCATGATGACTTTAGGTTGAGGAATCAGGCAAACATCCAGGGCTATGGACTACGGTTGGTCCTGTCTTCTTTCATTATTGTATCTGAAGGATTAAAAAAAAAACAAAAAGGAATCATTAGTATCCTAGGATTAGGCTCAAATATCAAGGCCCACACCTCAACCATCAGACTGAGCTAACATGATGATAAAAGATGTAGGCCTGGGCTCAAGGGGTAGTTTAGAGCAGTGGTTTCTAACCCAAGGGTCAGGAGTCGGGGAGTATATCCCTCTGAGACCTGAACTTTTGTTTGGTATCCATTTTTAATTTTTCCTAGCTATTTGGGATCAGTAAGGCATGTACGGCTAGAAGCCATCTACGTCAAGCTGGAACGACCATCATTAAACAGATGGGGTTGGCTTACGACACTGCTTATCCCTCACCTACAATGCAGTCTTGGGATCCCTCCCCAGACGACTTCACACCCATTCACCCCTGGTCCCACCTGACCCTAACGACTCACAAGGTGGCCAGGTGGGTCAACGACTCACATTGTGACCTTAACGACTCTGAAACTAAGAGCTCACGTGACCCCTACAACTCTGCAAGGGTTCCCACCCACACAGGGTTTATAGCCTGCGACTCCGCACAAGTCATTTAGAAATGAAGAAGCTTCTTGGATGAGAGGCGAAACGTCTTCAAGAAACGTAAGCAAGTCGCCTATGATATAGCACTTACAATATAAAAAACTTTGTATGTATCTTGTATGTTTTGAATATATTGTAAAGTACTGGATGCTTCAGGCTTCTAAAACCCTTCAAATAAAACAGTCCAAGAGGGCAGAATTACTTTGGTTGAACTGCTAACAGTTCATGTCCACATGATGAAGAGTCACAAGCAAAAACCACTGCTTCCAAGTAGTGTTTTTCAGTCCTGGTCCCACCTGTTTTCATCTGATTAGACTGACTGAATATTGGCAAGACAGTAACTGCAGGGTCCTGAAGATCGGATTTCACAATCACTCATTAAAAGATCGGAAGGTCAGTGAAATAAAAGATAGATTATCACTTTAAGACATTTAAAGCCGAGGTACGCAGTTGGTTTTTTGTGTCATTGTATGAAAATTCCATTATAACCTTTCGACATATTATAATTCAAGTAGTCTGAGAGAACACCAGACTTCTGCACCTGCTCTCAGCTCTGTTTTCAGGCTTTAGAAAATGTAGCCCATGAAGGGAGACTTTGGTCAATGACAGATCACTTCAGAGTGAAGGCGTTCCTATTGGCTGCTCTACACATGCAGATGCGTGTGCACCTTCCTTCAGATGGTGAAAGCCTGATTCAGTGGTGGAGAGTCCTGCAAAAAAATTTGCTATTCAAGCACTGACAACAACTGCCTGCAACCAACGCATCCGAGGTACCTTGCATGTCCTGTGTGGACGTGGAAAGTCCATGCCCAAATGTCAATATGTGACGAGGTCGGAGTGGGAACGTGTTGTTTGAGGAGATGGAGAGTAAATGTTGCTTACAGTTTAGCCTCCTGCTAATTGCAGCCAAAAGCTCACAGCTTCAGCTAGTTCAAGTTATGCAGCTACCTAAAGCCTCAAATCACAGTGTGTCATCTCAAAGAGGTGAACAGGCCCAAAAGTTTGCTAAGACCACAGGATGGTAACTGTCATAGAATTTCCGCTATATAACAAAATCAAGATCACAATCTCGATGACTGAGACAAATGACGTGTACTCATACAGGTTACTATACGAAGGGCATGCCGGTCTGGTGGAAGGGGTTAAGGACAGAGAGGGGAGAGCTGCAGGAGGAGGTCTGTGTTTTCAAATTCTGGTATTTTGTTTGCCTTCTCCAGCTTGTTATTATCATTCCATCTGCAGTATTATATTATTTGAATGTTTTTCTATTTTTATATATATTTTTTCATAATATTTCACTACTGATTAGAATATATGGCCTGAGTCAAAACCCTCAGACTGTGATTCTTCAAATGACTCACACCTATTAGGAGCTAAAAATATTTTAACTTAACATTGTTAACTTAATATTGTTCTGTCATTAGCTAAACAGTTATGGAAAGAAACCTAATTGAATGTAATTTCCCACCAAAGGTTTAAAAAAACTACTGAAAACCAGCAGGAGCTGCAGGTCCTGGAGACAAGAAGTGAAAATCACTGTTCTAAAAGGCTCCAGGTGAAGAGAGATAAGACGCAGATAAATTGCATTATTATCTTTGGATATTTCACTACTATCTCCTTTTTTAAATTCTTTTTTGAGTACACAATAAATCTACCCTCAGATGAGGCTCTTGAGATGACTCATGCACACAGCCTTAGAAGTTAACAAGGGGAGAAAAATGAGGACTGACTTCATATTGAATTGTCGTCATCTAAACCAGGTACTGAGTGAGAGAGACAGAGAGTCTGCTGAACATATATTTCCCCCAAAACTTTTTCTCAAAAACTTTACCCACGCAGACCGAAAACTGACATGGAGCTGCAGCTTCATGTAGAAAAGAAGTGATAGTCGCTGGTTTAAAGGGCTTCTGGGGAGCTGAATTTTGCACATATAAACTGAATTAATGGTATCGGTTTATTTGGATAGTTCGCCTACTGGTAGTTACAGAGTCTTTGTGACAGTTCAACAGCTTATTAGTTGAGATAAAACAATTCAACTGTTTTGCTTTGTCTGTAGAAGTTTATTAATAGAGTATATGTGACAATTCACCATATACAGTAAAACTTCAATTAGTAGCCCAGGCTATTATTTGCTTCAATCGCTGAACTCAACAGGCCTATTTGGGACAGGCCTTTAATTTCTTTCACACAAGACTGTTGCTCAGCAAAGATCACGAAATACAATCGAAATATTTATGTAAACCAGCATGAATATTACTTGTGTAAAAATTAGGCTTCAGATAATATATCAGTTATGAATCATTCATTTGATCTAGCTCCGACAGAGGATTACTGCACCCGGCATACCGACACAGCACCATTTTGTCCTGTTAAAACAATACTCAAAACTTGGATTCATTTATATGGAAAACCCTGGTGATTTTTTGGGTCTGAGGACCCTTACGGACTAAAGGGATATGAATAACTTACTGGGTGATCAGGGAATGGACACATAATTTTAGGTAGCTAACAACCTGCTTTTATACATCTGAAGAACTTCAATAAAAAAATTAACTGCTTGGCAACCAGACCAGGCTTCTAATTGAGACAAGCCTTTATTTGTCAAAATGTGTAGTCACACCAGGCTAGTAAAAGAGACTGAATGTTTAACTGGGACTAGGCTTTTAATTTAAGTTTTACACTATTCTTATGATAATTTAGTTGAACTTGAACCATTCACTCAGTCCATGCACAGCTTGACTGAACAGTTGAAGTTCAACTTAAGTATTCTCAGACTCATTCCCCCAAGATGCACCCCAGAGTGCCACAGGAAGTCATTCCTGCCTGTGGCCATGAACCTGTACAGCTCCTCCCTCAGAGTGTCAGCCACTCTGAGTCAGTAGACTGGCATTTGGACTTTATTCACCCTGTGAATTTATAATTCATAAGTATCTTTTTGGAGCAGTTATTTAATTGCCACAATATTCTGTGCAGTTACTCAGCTGTGAGATATTTATATAGATATAGGTATGGGACTTTATCATGCACAAAACTGTACATATTTCTTATGTTAACTTTATTCTATTCCTGTTTATTCTATTGATGTGTATAGTGTAGTTCAATTTCACACTTACTGCCTCAGCACAGTGATTTTATATATTTTATTTTTAATATTTCTGTATCTTATGTAGTGTTAAACACTGTAGCATAATTCACATTCTTTTTTTTAATCATTTTATTTTATTTTAATTCATTTTATTTTATTTATGTTTTATTTTTTATTGCTTTATATTAACATTTACTTTTATTTCATACTCTTATTCTTACTCCTTTAATTCTCTCTCTATCTTTTTTTTTGTTACATCGGAGCAAATGTAACGAATCACAATTTCCCCTCTAGAATCAATAAAATATTTCTGATTCTGATTCTGAATATGTGGGTGTGCTCATAAATGGCCACACATGCTGTATAGATCATCTGTTAGACATCTACATAGTAAAGTAAACCAGCTGAATTAATAAATCTAATGAATAATAAGATATTGAAATGGTACAACCAACTGGAGGTGGACTATCCAAATAAAGTGTTTATATCTCACTCATCTTCTGTAGTGTTGTCTTTTTTGAATTCTTTTTTAAAATGACGTCCTGAATCCACAATAAACTTACCCCAAGATGTGGGATCTTGAGATGACTCACACTTGTTAGCAGTCTGCAGAATCTTTCATTTCTATTTGGGGCTAAGAAGACAAATATTTGGGAACTGTGACTAACACCTTGTTGAATACCACCACCAAAACTTTAAAAACCCAACTTGCACTGACTTATTTTTGGACACTTATTATATTAACATCAATAATAAAATATGTTGTTTTAATAACTGGCTGTAGTTTGTCATCCCCTTGCCGCTGATCCGTGCTCGTGTGACGCCCATGCAGTGCTGTGGGTGGGGACGCAGGACACCACAGTGATGAGTGTGGTACAAAGTGAGCGCTGTCCACTCTAATGGTGCTGAAACACCAGGAAGCGCTGTTCACTCTCGGAATCACGGCGAGCTCACGGGGGGGGGGGGTACTGACTGTCTGTGGGAAGAAAATATAAAGCCTGACCACCTCCTGACAAACGGTGTCTAACTAACATCCCATCATCCATATATGACTGTGAGACGAGGCTGCACATTTATTACATACACGCTGCTCATTGTGTTTGTGTGTGTGTGTGTGTGTGTGTGTGTGTGTGATGATGGGAGGCGTGGAAGCCCAGCAACACCTCGGGCCTGCAGATGTTGATCATTGATCGCTGTCACACAAAGTTTCCAACACTTCATAAACACAATCAGGCCTGAGCATCGCGTCGACACACACCACAGAGCACATAGGAAACAAAAACAAAAAACACCAACACGACATGTAAAGACGAGGATGGAGATGCTTTGGTGATGTGCAGTAACAGGCTGCGGGGAAGCAGTAAAAAGATTTGAATTTGAAGCAGCCTCCACCCTCCTGTTTTCCTCAAGTCATCGATACAATAATTTAGCATCACACCAGCCATTAAAACAAACAGCATCTCTCCCTGTGTACACACTGTGCTGTTGTGCGCAGCTACACTGAGGCTGAGAATAAGCTGAGGGTGATGTTTGATCATCTACAACTGCAATGTTGTGAATGCAAATCCTCCATCGCTAAGCATGTCTCTGTTTCCCACAGGCTGCCTGCTCCATATTGGTGCAGTTTAAATGCAGAGTGGTCCTATATGCCACTGTTGATCTATCTCAATTCATAGCTTACATATGATTCAAAGTCCAAAGATGTAAAATAAGCTGAAAAAAATACCGTAGTGAGTTGGAGTCATCCTGCACTGAATCAAAGCAGCACGTACCGCTGTGAACAATCAATCCGAAAATGAAGCAGTAGCATTTAAAAAAAAAAAAAAAAGGAGACGCCGTTATTGGTTTACTATTGCCAGGGTCTAACCCAATCCATTTCCCCCTCCTCTGCCTCCGACATGGCAGAGAGATCCTCAGCACGATCTACTGCCCACCCGCCTGCTTCCTGCTCCGCATAACGCACCAGCGTTTCGCCCGGAGATCAACAAGTATACACGCCGAGAGCCCATTCGGACAGACTACCTGTGTTTCCCAGTCAGCTGTGTGAGGAGGCGCCGCAGATCTCTGAAGGTGGATCCATGGCAGCTCAGCGCTCTCTTCCACATCTGATTAACTCTTTCAGCACCGCGCCTTGACGCCTGGATGCAGACCTGGAGGCACTGTTGTTGTGCTCAGGACGGGGTGTACTGTTGGATGATGAGAGCACAGTGTGAACATATAAAGAGGGGTAAATATGTCTAAAGGCAAAGAGCCAGAATCAATGATTATACATGTCCAAAGAAATGTGGAATATGGAATTCAAGACAATTTAATGCTGCCTCATATGGTGAAGGTACCCAGCCAACATTTGTATGCTGGCCCCATGTGGGGTAGTAAATAGGCTGAAAAATGGGCCCTTTATTGGATTGTCCACAGGCTCCATATTGGCCCCATGACATTTGCGAACATTGATGAGTTTACCCAGATAAGATGTCCATTTTGGACCCATACCTGCTTTCAAATCCAATCAAGTTTATTCATATAGCACATTTAAAAACAACTGCAGTTGGCCAAAGTGCTGTACAAAATAAAAGAATGACACACAAATATATAACCAATTAAAACCAGTAAGAACAGTTACAAACATTCATTCATTCATTTTCCATAAGCACTTATCCTGTTGGGGGTTGCAGCTGACACTGGGCAACAGGCGGGGTACATCCTGGACAGGTCGCCAGACTATCGCAGGGTTGACACACAGTACGTTTACATGCACACAGTAGTCGAGCTAAGCACATAGCTCGGCCGACACATGGCAGAAGTTTCAATTCTTTAACCTCACCACTATATGCCGCTAAATCCTACACACTAGACCTTTAATGACTGGGTTGGGTTGATAATTTAGTCCAATACTACAGCCAATCTGCTTATCAAAACAGCTCTCCAACAACACCTAGCTACGTATCCTCAACACCAACATAAACTCTATGATTCTGAGACTTGGAAAACCACCCAGGCACCCACAAGCAACATAAAAGTGTTCGCCAACAAATGTCAATGCTACATCCTAAAGCTTTAGTAGCCCATTAAAACCATGGATGAGAAACTGTGGATTACCAATCAGGAAGGCATATCTATCACAATCCAAGAAGGAAGTGGAAAAGGACAGGTCACTCCCTTAAAAAGGACACAGATAACATCACAGGATAAGCTCTTGACTAGAACCCACAGAGGAAGAGGAAACAGGGTCGGCCTAAAAAAATACCTGGGGACATTCCACGCTTGGAGACTTGGAGAAAGTTGAAGTTTGCAGGAAGCAAAAGCCCAGGCTCAGAGAGGAGTGAGTAGTGGACACCCTGTGACCCTAAATGGGGTAAAGAGGCTTACATCAAGCTAATGAATTTAGTTCAGTGGTTCCCAACCTAAGGATCGAGACAATTCTGGGGGCGTAAGAGACACAATGAGAGTGTGTTAAGGTCAGCACATAGAAACTTCCCCCCTTCAACACATGAATGTGAAAAGTCTTCTAGTGTCAAACTGCACATGAATCAGTCTGCACAGTGAAGGTCAAACATCCAAGTAAAGTAAGCTCATCCTGTTTTTGCGTTAAGGGCGACATTAAAGCCTGAATATTCAGTGTGGAGGCAAAAAAAAAAAGAGAATTGTTTCAGGTTTTCTTTGTTTTTCCTTTTTATTGAAAATATTACTAACAAATTAAATATGATTTATTGCTGCACTGTGTAAATATGACACAGTATAAATAAAGCTACAATACATATAATAGAAGCATTCATCAATCAACAATTTTTACAGTTATGTACAGTTAAATCACGGAGTCACATTTCTCGCCGTGTCCTCTTCAGTCTGTACCGGACCTGCACATCTCCGTCCGGCTGGAGCATCCCGAAGCCATAGCGACTGGGATTAACTGGGGGCAGTTTAGCGTCTGGGTCGCACAACTCCAGGTCGAGATAGGTCACGAGCAGGAACACAAATCTGGAGAAACAAGGGGAAGAAGGCAGTTAAGAACAAGCAACATACTGCTCACTGATGTTTGCAAATGAAGGTTTTGCCCATTCAGTTAAATACAGAAATGATGTGGTAATCATATTAAGTAACCAGTCTTCCCAGTCTAAACATCGCCATTAACTAGCCTGCTCTCCCTTTGTGTGTGTTGTGGATTACAAGCATTGACCTTGAACCCCCGCGGCTGATATGATGTCTGACAAAGACGAGCTCTCCCGACAGACTGTCCATTACCCTTAACCTTTTTTTATACAGTTTATTACAGAGTATCAGTGATTACTCTGTTACAGCTCGTTGCTAATAATGATAGAGGACATGAAAGCAGGACTGACACGATAATAGAGGGAATGTTATGTGGAAATAGATTTTGCTGGCCTGGTAATCAGGGTGAAATTGCAGGAAATGCTTTGATCATGAATCCATCATTTCAAAACTTAACAGGCATCATGGAAAGACATATCTAAAAAAAAAATAAAAAAATAAAGGCAGTTAATTTTTTTATACTCACTGTTTAATGACTGTAACAGCAAACTCCTTCCCAACGCAGATGTTTCTCCCTGCACCCCAGGGCATGGTGTAGTACTTCAGCCTGTTACCGTCTTTGTAGAATTTATCCTTCACTGTCATGTCTTCATTTAAAAAGCGATCGTACTTGAAAATCTGTTGAGGAGAGACAAGAAGAAAAACATGAATGCATGAAATGTGTGCATTATAATATCATGCAAATGGGCTCGATCGTGTGTCTCCTGCCTCGCATCTCCTGTTAAAGATATGTAATTATCACCTCTCACCATTGAAGACAGATAAACAGAGTGAACACTGGGAATTGATATCGCTCTCTTGCTAGTCAACTCCTACTTGTTTCATTTGTAGGCATTTAGCAGCTCATCCCAACGGATGTATTCTGACAGTAATTTAAATCACGCTACTTAATCCTGCCTCCTCGAGATTGCTTTGTGCACTGTAATATGGATTAAAAATATCACAATGAAGGTACACAACTATATGTATCGTAACGGTGGAGGCTCCGTATCAAACCAAAATGTTAGGCACAGGGTTGCTGCGGTGTACTGTGCAACTGTATGCCACGGTATGTAAATTGATGATTATATGGTATACATTTGCTTATCTGCAGTATTGTGCTGTTAACACTCTGATCATGGCCTGTCTCAGTGTGCACAAAAGTACCTGTGGTTCTGGGTGTATCTGTGGGTCCATTTGAGGGCTGAGGAAGGGGAACAGACACACTCTGTCCCCTCGTCTGAGGTGGTACTCCTGTCCATTGTCCATGTGCAGGATTTTGTCCTGCACCACCTCCCTGTTGATCATTACCGCGGCGGTGAGCCGTAGGGTCTCGCTCAGAACGCTATCTGCAGAATGGAAGGGACAAGCAGAGTGGATGATGTCAGAGGGGTGTCAGCGTGAGTTAAATCAGCGGTGCCCTCCGGTTTAATTTGCAGAGGTACAAACATTTGCACGGATATGAATATATGAAAAAGACAATCATAATTTAATTGAATCAAAGGTCAAACTTTTATTGCCGTCGCCATTGTTTCAGTACGCTGCACTTATCTTGTTATTTCCAACAAGTCAAATGAGCCCGTGTTTCCACCTCAGTGGAGTGGCTTAACCTCATGTTATAGGAGTGAGTCAGGGAAAAGGCTGCTAGCAGCTGTTACATACCGAGCACAGGTGTTCTGTGTGCTCCCAGCAGGTTGATGGGGGGATGCTGTAGGGAAGTGTCCCGGGGAGTAAGGCCTCTGATCTCTGATTTAACAGCCTCCATGGCCTCAGTGTGAGTGAGCAGGTAGCCGAGGAGCCAAAAGGCAGTAGGTCCTGCGTTGCACTGGAAGGAAAAACACCCAAGTTAGCACAAAATATGTCCTTTATACGAACTTCTAGTATAAAGTTGGTGTTTATTTTATATATGTAGACATACAATGCGTATAATACAGCAGTGTTGACACGATAAAGGGATTCTTGATGCATTGATACTGTGGAAAATGAGCACTGAAACTGATTCAAGTATTCCTGATACGTTTGACAACACCATAATCTAAAGATACTTCTGATTAATTATTTAGTTTAAGAAATATTTCCACTATATTCCCTCCACTCTGTGATGCTGCTGTCTGAATATGAATGATATGAGAAGTCAGTGAATCAGTCCACACTTTGTAGACAGTGCTGTCAGCCTCTCAGGCAGAGACACCTGAGCCTGTCAGACAGTAATTGCTACGGGTTAGGGGAGCTGTTCTTTTTACTTCTGCACATCTCAGGTCAGGTCTCCAGTGACAGCCAGGGCAAATGCCCAAAAGTGACTTAAAGGTGCATCAGGATGACTTTCTGCCCTGTTAGATCTTTAGATCAGCAGATGTGTTGCCTCAGATAATGATAGGAGTGTGGTTACGAGCGGGGTGGGGATATTTAAAGGAATCATGCTGCATTTTTGGAAATATGCTCATATGTCAGTACGTTAAATATGTAGTTTGAGGTGCTGGCGGGCAGGTTTTGTTACATTTGGACAGAGCCAGGCTAGCTGTTTCCCCTTGTTTCCAGTATTTGTGCTAAGCTAAGCTAACCAGCTGCTGGCTCCTGCTGCATATAAACATGAGGCTGGTTTCAATCTTCTCATCTAACTCCTGGCAAATCTTGAATAAGCATATTCCCCAGAATGTCAAACTATTCCTTTAGGGTATAATGTCACTAGCTGCTGAATACTGAGAAAAGATAAGACTCAGTTAAACTAATATGGCAGCTAATGATTTATATACAATAAAGTGAGTCTATATGATGAGGACTTCTTTTTACATGTAAATACATGTGTGGGGGTGAGAGTGTACAGATGCCTCAACACATTAAATCACCACCTACCACATAACTAATAAATCTATAACAGTCTATATTTGTTTCAGTCAATAACATTGATTGTTTAAAAATGGAAACAGCAACCACCGGCTTGTGCAGGACTCACGACGAGGTGGTACAGTAGGTGGCTTCAGTGAAAATCCTCGCACTGCACTCTAAAATACCTCAGTCTGCCTGTTATACATGTATAAGCCACATTCACTGTGGCACGTCCCACTGGTCTCACATCTAATGCCTCGAGTCTCTGCAGTGGTGCTCCAGTTTCCGTCCCAGACTGAGACTGTGTGCTGGAATATCCCAGCAGACATGATTAAGCACAAACAAACATGCTGGAGGAATAACAGTCTTTCCC